ACCCCAATTTCTCAAAACTTCCGCCGAGATATTGATGAAAAACTTAAGTTGGTGACGAAATAAGAGTTATTTTAACACCAATTAAGATTTATATCAAAAGTTTCACATTATATTGAGAGTACATTTGACACACAGGTTCACATGTAGTACATATAAGAGCAATTCTACAAATAAACACCAATTAGGCGGAAATAGAATAAAAGAAAAGAAAAAAAGAAAAAAAATTAAAAAAAGAATTTTTTTTTGTAGTAGGGGGCACTCTATTTCTACATGAATTTTCTTCTTTTTTACACCCTAAAAAAGCAAGAAAAAATCATGAACATGAAATTGTTTTCTTTGTGACATACTTTAAATGACTAAATACCAATTTTAAACTTTTTCCGATTTTTTCAATTTACAAACTTTGATTAAATTTTTTTATTTTTGTTTTTTATACTAAAATATAATCTTATAGTATGAAATCTCTATAAATACATTTTAGAGAGACATTATAATAATATTATATTTATGTAAAAATCGTTTTATCTGATAAATGGCTCAAATTTATCTGAGCTATTTATTGGTATTTTGTCATTTATTGCCATTAATTGGTATTTTGTCATTTAAAGTATATCATAAAGAAAAAATTTCATGTTCACGATTTTTTCTTGCTTTTTTAGGGTGTAGAAAAGAAGAAAATTCTTGTAGAAAAAGCGTGCCCCCCCCCCATTTTTTTTTGGTCGTCTAATTGGCGTTTATTTGTAGAATCGCTCATAACCAAGACCCAAATCTAACACTTATTAATTGAACACACTCATTTTTATTGGGAAATTAATTCCTAGTATTCTTTCATAATTGTGAAAAAAACAATAATTAGCTTAATAGTTAAAATATACAACAAACATTTTTAAAATAGATTCATTTTTTAAAATGTATTACAAAATGGGAAAATATTTTTTAATAAAAAAAAATTACAGCAGAAAATACACATATAGACATAGCGTTAAAAGAAAGTCGTTCTGCAATTTATTTTTATTTATCTTTGATTAAAAATTGAATTCAAGTAATGAAAAAAAATTATTTGATTGTTAGCCTTGACTCCTAAGTAACGTTTCATTCTTAAAAAAACTTTCCCTGTTTTCATAAAATAAACAAGACATAATACACGAGATGAAAAAGAATAAATAAACAGTTAATAAGGTTCTTTGAGAATATTGGGAGAATCTGATACAGCCCACTTCACCTCTTGAAAAATGTGGAACAGTTTCGATTTAATATCATACAAGTAGCTTTTCTGTTGCACGCTGTTGTTCCATCTTTAGTAAAACTTTTACTCATTGAACTTTAACCACATAGAAAGTTAACGTAAGTATATTTAATTAAAAAAATAAAAAGCTATAATTATATATTTCAAGCAAACAATATTAACAAAAAAAAGGAGGAAATTAAAAATTTCACGAGCATTAAATCTGAGTCGTTCGGCACCCGCTTTGCCTGCCCCTTTTACTGGCCCGTCCTCTATATTTAATAAGGACATCTAAGTATTGAATTAATTTTTTGAAGGATGATTTGGATTAAAGGATTTTTTTCTGAAGAAGGAATTGATTTTTGCGATTTTCTGAAGAAAAAAAAATAATTAAATGTTTTAAGCGTAATGCCTTACAATTTTCTTTTAGAATCATTAAAAGTTTTATTTTTAATGGTAAAATTCGGGAAATCGATAAAAAAAAATTATGTATTCGTTGCTTACCCAACTCCCTAATTTTTTATTTTTTCTTCTTATGCTTTAAGTCTCAAGTTCTTGGTTTTTCTAACTAATTCTACAAAACCCGCACAATTTCCGTAGGTCTCCGTTGGCAAAAATATGACAAATTTAATAAAAATGGAAAAATGTATATATATTTTTTTAAAGTTTTTAAAATTTGTATGCTTTGTGTTTTACTTACTGACATGGACATTTAATCAAATATTAATAGTTAATGTAATTACTTTTGTAAAAGAATAATTACATTAACCATTAATCTGCATACATAACCTGTTTTTTTTTTAATTTCTGTAAAATAAGTTTAATTGGAACCATATATGGCAACGTTACTTTTAAAAAGTAACGAGTAAAAGTACAAGTAATTTTAAAAAAAGTAACGAGTAAAAAGTAAAAAGTTCTTATTTTAAAAAGTAACGAGTAAAAAGTACAAGTAAAAGTACAAGTACTAAACAAAAAAAGTAACGATTTAAAAGTACATTTCTAGGAAATTAAAATTCAAAGTAACCTAAATTTCATTGAATAATATTCTTATGTTCTTTAATGTTTTTTGCAAAATTGTTGTTATTTATTTAATTATTTTTAATTTTGAAAGTTATGGACATTAATATATTTTTAAATTTGGAAGAATATTATAATATAATTTTATAATATAATCGTATAATGTAATTTTAAAATCAAATATAATTTTAATATCAAACTTTTTATGGATTTGCACGAAATTTTTTTTTATCTATTGATTTTAATTTTCAGTTTATTATTTTTATTTATTTAAATTACCATTGATTTAAAATTGTTTTTCTCTATAGAAACGCGTTTTAAAGGCACAAACATAAACAAAGCAAACACGGGATTTCAGATAGCTTTATGATCTTTGAGCTGGTAAAAAATAATTGAATGTGTAGTATAAGTTGAAACAGAACAGTCTACAGTTTTATTTGTAACAATGGCTAATGCTGAATTCATGCGAGAAAATCATTTTCCAAACATTAGACTTAGAGATCTAAACTTAGAAATTTGACTGGGCGTTGTTTGACAAGGTCGGGCATAAGCATAATTTCAGTAAAAAAGGTACTAGGTAAAACTGTATTTAGTAAGAAACGTATTAAGACAAAAATGTATTATTAGTGAGTTCAAAAAGAAAAGTGAAAAACATAATAACAAAATCCAACATTTTTTATTTAAAATTTATTAAATAAATGCATAAAACTCGAAAATGAATGAAAATAACTTGCTAATTAATATTTTTATTCATTTTGCAAAATAATTGCATTTCGAAAGTGGTGTCACTGAGTCTGCTGTACAAGTAACGAAAGTACAAGTAACGAACAAGTAACGGCGGTACAAGTAACGAAAGTAAAAGTACTGCCATATATGATTGGAACTAAACTTCATAAGCAGTTTCAATATTTATTACGTACCTACGTTTTAAATAATTTGGTATAGGTAGGGCCTCAAGTCGCACATTAGCACCCAGGCTCATACAAGAATTATTTTTTAAGTATAAATATTATCGTTTTTTAAATATGGAACGAATTTTCATAATTTTTTTAATGATTTTTATCATACTCAGTTATTTTAATACTAAGGTGAGTAAATTCAAAACTAACCTTTTTGAAGAACTTTTTTTTCAGAACTAAAAATATCTAAACCCATTGGAAATAGAGAGAAATAGAGAGGCATTAAAATGCAGTTACTAGATATATGTCTCAGCTTCATCATACAATCATGTGGTTTGATTTCATTTTTTCATCCCACAACTCTAGATAGTGATTCGAATCTTTTGACAACGTTTTCGTTATTTTCAGTCTTAATATTATGCTGCTATCCACGATGTCATGGATTATAAAAATATAGTTAAGATATTCTTATCGAAATATAATGAAAATTCAATTATAAATTCAAATATTTTCAGTCGGTCACTGCCTGAAAGTAATCAAAACTTGATTGCCGGGTATTTGCCAGTTAAAAAATAATAATAATAATAAAATTGGAAGGAAATCATCTACCTTTGAGCAAGACTAAACGCATTTTTTTTTCTTTGCAAGTTTAAAATCTTTTTGAAATCTTAGCGGTTATTGCTTGCGCAGATTCCAATACGGAAGTATCTCAAAAAATTACATCACACCCACAGATTTTTTGAAAAAAAAATCTTTTTTTTTTATATAAAAAAACACATTTTAGATAATTGTATTTCCTTTTGGTGGACAATTTTGATGTACTGTGCTTTTGTTCCATGGAGAAAGGCTATAATGAGAGATGCCAACTGCAGACACACCAAAATAATTAAGAAACGGTCAATAAGTACAAAGTAAATTGTGCAAACATTTGACTATTTTTGCTTGCTTTTTAAAGGGTATAGCACGACATAAGTACTATAAAGTGGTGAATTATATAAGCTTACGAATTATTTATAAATAGTGGTGGATAAAAATCTACTAAATTGAATTTTAAACCAAGAATTAGAATTGATAAACTACGACTTTAATATATATATTTGCTGTCCGGAGCAAGTTGGCATCTCTGTATATTTTATTCTTGAATAAATAAGTGTTATAGCTTACAATCCTATGTAAATGATATGTATCAATAAAACCATTTTTTTTCTTAGCTTTCACATTGTTATTTTCAATTCTCGAAGATATTTGAGTGTTAAAAATTATAGCAGCATAAAATACAACGCTTCTCGAATTCGAATGTGCACAGTTTGGCGTGTTTAGCGAGCTCCAATTAACTCGAGCGCACAAGTTAAGGGGTTAAATCCAGAAATTACAAAATACCCTGTATATTTAGAGAAGAAATAAAGATGAAGAACTGACGCATAAATTAATCATTATCGTATCATTACATTCATATAAAGAATTATTTCAGCTTGGAAATTTATACTTAGTTGTATGCTAATATTATATTCACGGAATGTCGATGTTTTTGATTCACAATTTGTCCAAGAAACGATAAACCTAATGACATACGTCCATTTACGTATTTAGTTCTGACGACAGCCGCCTACTTTCTCGTCCTCCGCCACCTCTACATTTCCGGTACGATATCCCCTTTTTTTTACGCAATATTTGCCGAGGCTGACAATCACATAAACAAAACACACTCTAGAAAACTCATTAACAAAGCGACGTGATTCCTTTTTTGTTTTTGTTTCTTCTCACACAACACGGAGGACACAACGTCGGGAAAAAAAAGATAAAAAAGAAAAATAAGTAAATAATAAATAAAAAAAAGAATGAAACGTGAGAGATGGTAAGTTTATACGACGGTTCAATCAAAAGAAATCTTGTATTATCTGGACTCGCGGCCACTACAGCTGCATTTGCAAATCTAAACTGAAGATCAGCTGCCATCTCTTCTGCTCTCCTCTGACAACGACTGCCATTTTAAAGTACACAATAGAGACATTTAGAAGTACTTTATTTCTTCGCTGGAATTGAAAAGACTTGAAATGACCCTTTAAGCGTGCTGCTGAATACATCTTTTTTCTCTCTCTCTGGGAATATTTAGATAAACACTAGATGGCGCAATCTTCAAGCACGGTAAGTTTGTTTTGCCACGTGACTTAAGTACATGCGATTTAAGATCAGCCATCATTATCGTTTGAGTTACATTTAACAGTTTTATTTTTAATTATTATATTTTAACTGACATTTCATGGAAGAAATTCTAAGAAATTAAGTTTAAAATTTAATAGAGCACTTTTACGATTCTGGAGGCCATAAAAAATTGCTAAACTGTTATTGTCGCCAGTGATGGGCTATTATTGGGAGTAATAGGTGTTCCTGGTATAACTATCTAATGCAGGTACCATGGTAATGGCTTTATCACGGCCCCCGAAGTGGATAAGTACCTTAAATTGATTAGTGATTCTTATAACTACTTAATTTGTTAATGAATCCAGTTTCTGTATTTTATAACATTTGCTGATAGAAATAAAATGAATGAAAATTACAGCGTTTAATATTGCTTTGTACTTTAAATGAAGACTTAAGATTTCCGTATCGTTATCTGCTGTTGTCTTGGCAACTTCCGGGCAACGTCCTTGAAGAAATTTTAAAAAAAAAGAGGGAAACATCACAGAAGGGGACCAACTTGATGTGCATAACTCGCAACCACCCTCGGGTAAATCTCTAAGAGTTCTTTTTTTTTTTTTTTTTTAAATTGCAAGTTTAAAATTCATTTGGTGTCGTGGCGATTGTAGTTGGCGTGACAGATCACGATACGGAAATATCCCCTAACACAGGGCTAGATTAAGAGTACGCGGGGCCCTTAAATTAAATTTTTTTCACTTATATTTTTTATTTATTCAAGTATAAAAGTATTTATATATCTTTTCATTTAAGAAAGCATATTTAAAATTAAAATAAATAATAATAAATTAAATTTTACTTTAATTTATTAAATTAAAACTAAAAAATATTCATAAAATTTTGAAAAATCATTGTTTTTCGTAATTTTTTAAAATTTATTTTCGAAAAATCCATTATGAGGGGACCCCTAATCATTGGGGGCTCCAGGCCATAGCCTGGTCTGGTCTAATGGGTAATCCAGCCCTTCTCTAACGTTAAATTTTCTCAAAGCTAATGTCATTATTTTTTCGTTAAATACATTTAAATAAAAATTCTTTTTTAAATTAATTGACAATAATTCAGAAGATGAATTGCATTTTTTTTAATTCCCCTTGTGTGCTTGAATTGTATTTTCTTTTTTAGGCTATTGCAATTGCTAGCATTAAAAACCTAAGAAAAGTGGTATCTTAATTTGTATTAAGGAAATGTTTGTTAGCGATGCATAAAGCATTAAACTTTTGCCATTGGGGATCCTCAAATCTTGCGATGCGTGAACAGACATAATTATTTAAAAAAAAACATAGAAAATTATTTTGAAGAGAAATATTTTCTTACATCGTTGCATTTCGTGAGAGTTTTGATAAAATGAATCTCATGTATCTCAAATATTGAAAAAATAAGAAGAAAAAAAATTCAGTGAAACAAACTAAAATGATATAATGATATGAAATAAGTTGTAATAAAGCTTAATGTATTCTTGTTATCTCATTCATATGAAAGTAAATAGTGCTACGTAATGACCACCCGTAATAGACTGAAAGGTATAGCAAGGCATACCTAGGAAAAGAATGAATATATATATATATTAGAGGAAGAGATAAGAGTGGTATTGAAGTCTGACGTATCGCAGAAACCGGTTTTAAGCCAGATGATTACCACCCTGTTTTTGTATATTTTTTACTTAATTTTTAACAAAAATTCTAAAAATATAGATAAAGGCTAGTCATCGTGGAACACCACGCATAATGTATACATCATATGAATACACTGATTATCCATTATACATTCATAATGAATACACTGATTATCCACTATAATTGAAACTTAAGTAAAAGAACAAACATTGTATATAGTATTAAGCTTGAAGTGTAATTATGTGCATGTTACCCTGTTATGTATTGTTGTTGTTTCCAATCCTTCACAATAAAGCCCCCGCTATGTCAAATCCATGAGTTTCCCTTTAGGTAGAAATGAATATATTGCACCTATTAATCAATAATTTTCTTCTAATGAGTAAGATTAACAAAAATGTTTAAATATTAAAACATAAGATTAGATTCGAAAAACAATCAGAAGTATTCACTCTGCTAACAATGCTTGTTTTAAAAGATGGCACATAGCATAAATTATTACAGCAGCAGCTTATTACTAATCTGGCTCGATACGTACCTCTTTCGGTAAAAGCAAAGGGTTGTAAGTTCAATTTCAATTCTAAGTCTATTCCATAGTTAGATGAGTCAGCTAATGCGCTCAAAAAAATTTGGTTTGGTGGTGGAAAATAAGACAAAAAACCAGATTGGCGGCAATATCTTGGACTAGGCGCAGATAATATACTAGGCATATAAGCCGTCTTTATAATGAGCACACAAGCTTTCACATGTGTAACAATAAATAAATAATATTAGGATCGTTTAACTGGGCAGAAATAGACATTAGATTATAGTTTTATTCTAAAACTATTTTTTTTAACTGACAGCCCATTTTTAAATTTATGAGTGTTCTACTCATTAGTTTTGTAATTTTGAACCCAACTCAAAGGACAAGTGAAATCCTGGATTCTTGCATTGGGACAAACATGGAGCTAATCCGCATTTGTGTTGCATGGAGAGAAAAATCAAGAAAACCTCCTACGACACCAAGGAGATTTTAACCCACAATTCGTCTACCACTAAAGATATTTTACGAATGCACAGTGATCGGTGTGAGTGGGAGCATAATTCGAATCGACCAACGATGGGATTCGGATATATGGCTCACCTGTTAGGAAGGCGAGCACTTTAACCCTTGACCTACCGTGAGTCTATAACAGAAATATGTAGTTGACTCCCTAACCGAGCGGTCTCACTGTTAAACCAAACTGCATATGGCGTTGAGGTAGTGGGTTTGAATCCTTTGTTATGACCTTTTCTTACTTGTGTTACCTATACTGCAACTTGACATGAGCTTATATAATGGCTTTTGTTACAAACACACAAGCCTGCATACATATTTGTAACAACAAATAAATTAGTAAGTACTCACCATTGCAGATAATCCCATCAAACAATTTTGCTCGAAATAAACCGAATATTATGCCACAGACATATAACATTTTGTTGGGTGCCATTTTTCTCTATTCTAAAAAAATAATTAAAGAAACCTATTTTGGAAATGTGCAGCAATACAAAAAAAATGAGACTTTGCTGCTTTGATCATACGATATTTCGATGCATATTCAAACATTTAAAACTCAACCATTTTCACATCTGGCAATTTTTAGAAATAAACATAAAACCCTGACCGAGAAAACGTATTTAAATGATATGAAATATTCTTAACTTCAACAAAGGAACAAACACAAGAAAATCTGAATTGCAAAGCCCTCAATTAGTGTTTTAGTCATATCAACGGCATTTTTAAAAAAGAGGTATTTTTATTCTCTTTTGTTTTCATTAAATCGCTGCATCGTGAATTAATCATAAAGAAAAAAAGATTCAAAGAATAGGCCTAGTTGTGTTCGAAACAAGTAATTTATTCGTTTCAACTTTCTGAAAAGAATATTTTTTGTATTTGACATTTGTTTGCTTTTGTATCTTGTTGGGAAAATGTTTGTGTAGTCTTTTTAGACGAATTTTTGTTAACATTAATTTCATTATATTTGATGAATTTAAGATCGCATGTATCTTTCTTCTTAAACACAGGACCATGTAATCTCTGTTTCAACCCCCCCCCCCCAAAAAAAGAATGTTTTCTAAATAATAAATAAAAGTGGAAATGCAGATATGCTCAGCATTTCTCTATTCTCAACCAATTGGACTAAAAATAAGAATTATTGTTCAGAATTATAAATCAGCATTATTGCACGAAATTGAATTAAAAATCAGGAACATTACTCCCTACATAGGCTTCACAGTAGACTACTGACCGTCAATCAGCACTGATTGCGATCAGTGAGCAAGTGGGTGACTATTTTTTGATCAGCCAGCGAAGGAATCGAGGGTGTGTGGTGTCATTTCGTGAAATTGTTTTACTTTAAAATGTTGCGACTTCTAAAGTGGGGGAGCCACCCTCCTATTAAGGCTCGAAATTGTGATGGCGTGCCTACGAATCATCCTCAGGAATGTTTGCCAGACCTTCGCCTGCAGCCCATTGTGCAGCTTTAGTTCAACGTAAATAAGTACTACTACTACTTTAGATCACCCTCAGGGACATTCCTCTGACCGTCGCAGACAGCCCAGTTACTACTACTACTTCGGATCATCCTCAGCTATGTTTTCCAGACCGTCGCCAATTGCCCATTGAGCAGTTCTGGTGCGATGTAAATAAAGTTCTACTAAAAATTAACCTCAGGAATGTTTGCAAGACCGTCAAAATAGACCATTGTACAGCTCTAATGCAACGTAAATTAAGTTCTACGACTACTTCGAATCCTTCTTGTGGATGTTTGCCAGACCATCACCGATAGCCCATTGTTCAGGTCTAGTGGGACGTAAATAAAGTTCTACTGCGAATCAGCCTCAAGAATGTTTACAAGACCGTCGCCAATAGCTCATGGTGCTGCTCTACTACGAATTAGCCTCAGGAATGTTTGCAAGACCGTCAAAATAGACTATTGTACAGCTCTAGTACGACGCAAATAAAGTTCAACTACTACTTCGAATCCTTCTTGTGGATGTTTGCCAGACCATCATCGATAGCCCATTGTTCAGGTCTAGTGGGACGTAAATAAAGTTCTACTACGAATTAGCCTCAAGAATGTTTGCAAGACCGTCGCCAATAGCCCTTTGTGCTACTCAATTGCAACTTTTACCGATATTTGATGTAGCTAGCAAATAGAAGAAGAAACTGATGATAAAAGAATGAAAATCGGAGTATTAGTGAATCATCATTAACACACCGGACAAAAAATTAGTCACTCCTAAGGAAATCATGAAAAACATAATTTAATAACGTGTAACACCTCCTCTGGAGTTGATAACCGCCTTGATTCG